CATAGCATCGATGATCCAATGGCATGAAATGTGATTCAATGGCATTTTTGTCCCAATTCCCCCTCCATAGCAAGAGCAAAAAACCTAGGTATAAATGCAAATAAATTTTAAATTTACTATGATAACGCTGGGCCAAAGTGAACATCATGATTTTCATTTTCAAAATGAAATGTCATAGCAAAGCAGCCCATTGTTATCATAGCCCGCGACATGTAAGGTCAGTGGACAACCTCATTCCCAGGGCTCTCTTCCTTGACCCTCTCAAAATGGCAGGTCACATTTGTTGCTCAGACTGGGAGAAGGACGAGCATTTGAAGAGTGATCTTGAGCGTTATGTGCTAGCCAATTATTCCAGAAAAGAAATACTAGATTTTGTTAGTTGGGACTACCCTGAATATGCATGGAGTCTGCCTACACTTAGTAGGAGATTGAATTTTTTTTGGCATCAAGTAATTTGTTATGAAACCAGTATAGAATATGTCAAGAAAGCTGTACAAGAGGAAATGGAAGGTCCAGGGCAGTACCTTGGATATTGAACTATGCAGAGAAAACTGCAGGAGCAACATAAATTGGCTGTTCGTCATAATTTGGTCTATGATGTGATGGGTATGGTGGACACTGAAGGACTGGAGAGGCGAGGGAATATTGGTCAGAAGAAACGACAAAGGGGAGCTACAGGAACCTTCACTTCATCAGTAAGATCTTGGGAATTTGTAGGCTCTTGGCACGTATCACGAAATTGCTCTCTTGGTAACACGTAAATAAAAATACTAAACTGGCAGTGCTGCTGTTATGCACTTGTCATCAGCTCCCTCATAGGAACTTTGCTTATTGTGCATTGTTAAGAGTTTGTACCCACCGGTTGGGGATTTTTATTTTACTTAAGTAACCATTATTAGGTAAGGCCAAAACTGGACATGAAGGACGTGCACAGGAAATGCATTTCATGGCTTCATTTTGGCTCTTTGAACAGTTGGCACATCACATTCTGCAAAATGAACTTTAATTTCTTTTCTTGGATAAGGTTGATCTTCTTCCACGATATCACCAACAAAAGACAACCTGTTCACCTGTAATAATGACTTTGAGCAAATACATAAAGGGCAATTCTTAACTTGCTTATGCATGCCTGCCAATATGTACAAATATTTGATTGACGGTCTAGATCTGTTTGATACACCAAAAACAGTGGATTTGGACACATATCTTCTTGTCCCCTATTATCATCAGAAGTTTCAATAAAAGCAAGTTACTGGCAGTCTATCACTGCCTATAGGTCCTCTTACTGCCATCTGTTAAGATTTTAGGAAAGGGGGCCTTACAGCCCCTTTCCTAGTCTTAGCTGTCTATTCCACCATCGGCAACTGCTTATGGAAAAAAGTTATTGAAACCCGAGTATCATGCGATACAACTCATTCCTGGTCATCTTTCAGTCTATCAGAAGCAAAGTAACCACTTTCCCAATAGTTAGGTCATCAGGAAAGGCTCAAAATATGCTGCTTAGTTCCCATAAAGTTTCCTCATTCCCCTACATCTGCCCCCCCCACACCCCTCCCCCCCACCGAAATCAGGGAATCTCATGACAAATGCATTTCTTTAATGTGCTATTATTATTTTAATATGCATACCTTTTAATATGTACATAGTCATGGTGACGTGAGAGCTCTGTCTCTTTTCACATTTTGTTGTCTTGTATTATGTAGGGACCTAACCACACCCATTCAGGAGATGGCCATGACAAGCTTATGGGCTTCATGAATAGCACTTTTCCTTTAGCAGTTTATGGCCTGCTAAATGCCTGTAGTGGATACATATTGTATTTGAAATTGTGGACCACAAACTCTGACCCCAAGTTGATTGGGCATTCGTATATGGGTCATTTGTACAAAACAAAAGGTAAAATCTGTCCTCTTAATTTTGCAAAATTGATACAATGACAGATGCAGACTGATCACGATACAGTCAAAGCTCTTATAGGCAACAACCTTTGGAATTCATATAAGTGGTCGAGACTAGAGCTGGAACGAGCTTGTAAATGTATGCATGTGGAACGAGCGTGTGAATGTATGCATGTGGAATGTGTGTGTAATAATGCTAATCAGTTTCATAATTTGGGTGTGTAACATTTTATTGGACAGTTGAATAAATGGACACGGGAGTAAAGGTCGTCTCTCCAAAAACTACATGGTGTCAGGAGTAAAGAAAATCCGCATCGCCTGGTCTCTCTGACAATCTAACAGTCAATTATGGCAGATGGTCT